ATCTTCTGATCTACTTCAGGAAACAGCTACGTCTGGTATGCACATTGAAAAGCAGTCAGAAGGTATAAAGAGTTTGTTAACTGATAAGTGCGACAATGTGACCCCTAATGGTTTTGTTATCAATGAGAGCTCTGGCAATAGTCATACGACTTCTGATGCGGAAGAGCACATTGCAGAGGAAACAACAATAGAAGTGAGAAGTGGATTTTTTTTTTTCTGTTTCTGTGGTATCTTCTTCCTCTGTGTGAAAAGAGTATATTATGAGCATCACAATGACATGTTATTGTACTTTTCGTTTTATTTGCTCTAGGCATGTCCACTTCCAGGAGGAACCTCGGATGTTTATAATCAAGGTGATTGCAAAATTTTTTCCCCAGTGCAGCCACATATTCGGACAGAACTACCACCCTATATGGATGCACTTTATGCCAGTGATTTTGGTAGCAATAGCAATGGATTACTTTTTCAAGATGGCACCGGTGAACAGGATTTGTGTTTGACTGAGTTGTTGGATGAGGTCTTCAATAATCAAGATGAGTGCTCTGGTGAGGAGTCAACAAGTCAGAAAAACTTGATTCTTCAAAATGAAATGCATTTGTCTGGAAATACATGTCCATTGCAGACGGTCCCACCTGAGAATGCAGCTTTCAAGGAAAATGGTACATATGGCGACGGAGATCCTGACATTGCACCACAACTGGTAAAGGAAAAACCTGCTAATTGCTGCAGCTAAAGTATATATTTAGTGTAGTAGTTCTTTTATTTGTCTATTTAACTTGGTTGATTGTTGTGGTTTGTACATATGCCAGTATGGTCCGCTGGTTGGGGCTTCCATGTGGTTTGATGAGCATAATGATCGCAAAGAACCACTGCAAATTCAAACTTCATTTGGATCTTACCATGCTCAAGGATCACTGTATGGTGGAATTGTTGGGCATCGAGATCCTTCATCTGATGATTCCATCACCAATCTGACCAATCCTGTGAATCCTCCCTGCGACTTAATTAGTGGGACAGGAGTCAAAATTAGATCAAGACAGGCTCAGATCCGACCTAATCTGGACAACTTTATAAACCAGGGCACTGCCTCTAGGAGACTTCGTCTAAAGGTGGAACCTTCACCTTCATCAGTTGCCTACGACAACAAGAGAGACATGAACCGCAGGGAAGAAGAAGATGAAGTACAGTCATATGTCTCTGAGGTAAGTGTCCTTTGGGGAGTGGAGCTCATTTTTACAGCTCAATGAAGATCCACTATTGTGCTAATTTTGGTCAATTTGGTTCATACAGGTTATAGAACCTGCCAAACTGCCCTGTGGCAGTGCTCGCCGTCGTATTAAAATGAGGATCAGAGTTCAGCAGCCTCGACATGAACCAAATTCAGAGAACTTTGTTAGTCAGGGCAATGCTCCTCGAAGAATTCGTTTGCAGACGAAACGTTTCTCCACATTTGTTCAGGAAGGCAGGAGTAGATATGTTGATATGGTAATATTAATCATTAGTGAGATAAGAGTCATTTCATTGAACTAATGCTTGGAGTTGAATAAGCTTTTATGTAATGTTCCGCTGCAGGCTACCGAAGAAGCTTCTGAACGAAGCCTTACCTTTTATGAGCCATCAACAAAGAGTGAGCCCGTTAATATTGATGGGAAGAAGGAAATTTCACATGGGTATTTTGGAAAGCATAGATTAAGACCGAAACTTGGTGGAACTGGCTGTTCTCAGACAGGAGCAATAACATCTTCACAGGGACAACCCAAGCGTCCTGGATCAAGTAGTTTATTAGGTTATATTGTCATGACGGGGGTTGCTGTGATGGTGGTTATTCTTTTGATTGGGGTGAGCAGATGCTTAGTTCCCGCAGCTGCATGAAGCCAGTGTCTACAGGTATTGTTCTTCCATTGTATTTTAATGTGCAGTGAGATAGGCAGAGATCTGTAAATTGCCCTTTCCATGTCATGTATAGATATGTCTTCAACAACTCAGTAGTTTCTCCTTTAGCTATTTACGATGTATTTGGTTCAATTTTATTCAGTTTTTAGTTGTAATTTTTGCATTAGTCCCGATATGAACCAGTTAGAACATAATTTATAATCTTTTAGTTCAAAACAACATCATTATTTCAATTTTTTTTTTTTTTTTTTTTAATGGTGAAAAACTTAATTCTTACTTTAAAATGTAGGAATTAAATATTTACGGTCAAAAAACTCAAATTGAATAGAAAATGAAGTGTATTTGTAGCTCTGATGAGGAGAGATAATCTTACATAGCATTTGATTCCTGCTTTGTCTGGGTTTTACTGTATATCAATGGTGGGATTAGATTACTAATCAATTGAAGTTTATTTAATGGTTGTAATTATTGTTTGTTTGCTTAATATATATTTATTGTATAAAAAATATTTTAAGATAATTAAATTTTTTTTTTTTTTTTTTAATTAGGTTGTTATAAAAGTAAAATCTTTAAAAAGCCAAATGTTCACTTCCGGAACACTAGGATTTAAACCTATTTTTAATTCTCTATTTTCGACATTAGTACGTGGAATATATATTTTAAAAAATACGCGAAGAAAATGCAAATAATATTTAATTATTTTATGTAACAATTATGAAGGCCATCACGTGATCTTATGATTACGTGGCAATCGGAATAACGTACGTTAGAAATATTTAATAATACTCACCTAAAGAAGGCAACCACCGGTGGGGCCACAAAAAGATAATTATATTTATTAAATTTGTTATACGTCTCCGTTTTTATTATAATCCTGAATTTTGATATAGTAATTAGTTTATTTTATCCTCGGGAGTAAATTATTTATTTTATTAAAGTTTTATAAATGATACCGTCAAATATTAAAGGAAATACCAATAGTAATTATTTCTTAGATTTGTCTTTGATAATCTAAATAAAAATATTAGAATTTTGAATTATTCATATATCGAAGTGAAGTATAGGAATTTTTATTATTTACATAAAAAATTATAACTAAATTTTAACATTTTAAAATATTATTTTATAAACTCCAAAAAGGAGAATGCACTCGCAAGGGGGAGAGAAGATAAGGATGAGAAAAAGCAGGTGGAGATAATCTTGTGAATAAAAAGAAAAAAAAAAAAAAATTGGATCCACGTGGCAGAGATGTACCGCACTGAAAACACTGAACCAATTGAAATTATAAAAAAATAATCATACGTGCAAATATAATAATTATCTAAAATTAACAAATTTATATTTTATAAAATATTTTAATTTTGTTTATAAAAGAGAATGATGGATTATCCTTATTTAATTAAGGAAGGACGAGTTTCCTTCAGCAAACTTTAGAAGCTTGATTTTATACGCACGAAGACGTACGTAAATGATTGTATTTAATTAATTGAATTTTAATAAATAGTTTAATTGCATGAAAATAGATTTAAATAAATTAAATTATTTATTTATTTTTTAAAGTTACAATTAAAAAGGACTTATTTTTGTTTCTGTACCTAATAATGACTGTGAATTCAATTTTTAAAATTAATAATTATCACTTATTTGTTTTATTAAAAAATTACTCCATACGATCAATATACTTAAGTGCATATATATATATATATACACGTGTGAATAAATACAAGAAACCAGAAACCACGGGAACTTCGAAACCCGCAAACCCACAGAAAATAAACCGTGTCATATCACGTCTGACTGTTAACTGGATTGAAACAAACTTTCCGCTTGTTTTCTCCTCTATAAATATTTTCCCACACAGACAGAGCCGCCAGAATTGTCAACTACAGTCAGTGATCTTCCTCGGCCTTCTTCTTCTTCTTCTTCTTCTACTTCTTCAACCTTCTCTTCGCAGAAATCAAAAGATTCGAGTTCGATTTTGTGAATTAGGTTTCGGAATTTCGATTATCAGCTTAGCTTCCGATTAACACAGAAAAGAACGAGAGAAGATGATACTGGTAGCGATAATGGCGGAGCTAATGGAGGAGTACACGGTGCTGTTGGCTCGGGTCCTGGAGCATATGTTCCACGAAGCTCCATTCCCGAGGCGGATTCGGCTCCGACTCCTTCGTAGTCTTCACTTCGCTTCCTCCAATCCTCCTCTTCAGACTGCCGCTTGATCATCATCCTCTTCCTCTGTTTCTTAGCCAGAATTGTCGGTTAGACTGCTTTGCATTATTTTTGTATCTATGTAATTAATCCCCCGGGTGTCTTTGTTTCTGTATATATTACAGAGGTTTTAACCGAGTAATTTGTTTGTGAGTTGTTGAATTTTCTGCAACTGAGTTTCCATATAATTAACTGCCGCATATTAACTTTCCTCCATTAATGGATTCGTGATGTTAGATTCTTACCAAAATTATATGATACGCTGCTAGGAGAACTCGTCCAATAGTTCTTAAATTTCTCAAAACATGTGATATTTAACAGAATCACTCGATATGTATATCGGAGATGTTTTTCTTTTTTTTTTTTTTTAATCAACGTCGATGCGAATTACATTACTTGACAAATGAATGTATTTGTCGGCAGGTGCTTAACAATTCTTCTGATCACAGCCTTATCCATTCTTGATCAATTATCAAGAATGAAGAACGAATGATCCTTCTTCTTCTTTAAGAAAAAATATCCAATCGGAGACGTTGATTGATCTGTATTTGAATTTTTAAGATTTTCCATCTATTTTTCTTTTTTCCTCTTCTAGGAAATTATGAAAACTCGAGAAGAGACACGTGGTGTGACGTAACGACATGCCACGTGGCCGTGGTCCTTAGTAGTAGAGCGGGCCCCGGCTGTTCCGATGCGATTTGTGTGACAAGTAAGCAGTTACCTTCCGAGGAAGAGTATAGAACGTGAGCTGTGTGATCTGCTTGGACCGCGTTTGGCTGTTTGGTTTAAATCTTGAATTATTTTAAATTTTAACCTTATAATGGTTTTCTTTTTTTATTGAAAGCAAGATCATGATTACAAAAATTCTTTAGCAATGAATTTGGATTGAGAAACTAAGATTGGCAGAGGATGAATTTTGGTAGGATTCAATCATTAGGGTCGGTAGTTTTTTATTTAAATTAGTTGGTGTCTTTGATTCAAATTCATTGGTTCAATCAAGTACTGGTTGATTTTAATTTTATTGATTTTATAGGATTTATTTATATTTTATTATTACAAAATGGCCAATGAATTTACTGCCACTGCCCCTTGTATATATATATATATATATATGTATGTAGGTTAAAGTGTTTAAAAAATGAACTTTCCAGGGACTACCTGAATCTGGATGTTAATATAAATAATAAATTTGATCGAAAAGAAATATAGTTGTACATACGACGAATTATTAAATTAATGTTTCATTTGTTATGATTTAATTTTTAATATTTTTTTCATTATAATTTGATATATAATATTTTTATTTATTTTAAATATTTAGTTTTATCTTAATTTTTTATTTAAAAAAACTAAAATAATTACATCATATTTAAATATTTTAAAAAATAATTTTAAATAATTAATAAATTAATGATAAAAATGTACTTAATATTATTAATAATTAATTAATTGAGTAATAATAACTTGATAAATATAAAATATTAAAAATTATATTCTAACAAAAAATATTAAAAGTTAAATTGTAACAGTATTAAGAATTAAGAATTAATTTAATAATTTATTCTAATACCCGATTATAAATAATTTAATAATCTGTATGTATTACAGATTAAAATTTTAATTTTTACTGAAATATTAGATAATTCAAATTTGGCTTAGTTTTATACTTATAAATAAAAAAATAATTTTTTTCTCAGTGTGTATGTAAATGTATATATTAATTTTGGATAGTAAATCCTTGAGTTATTTACATATTTACTTTTTCGGTGGTAAATTCATATGTTTGTTTATTAAAAAAAAAAAAAGTACAAAAGTATATTATAAGTTGTACAAATAATTAATTTAGAATTAAATTTTATTTTTTTTCTAATAAAAGTTTTGAAACCCTAACCACATGCAATCTTACTTTAAGAAAGAAAAAAAAAAAAAAACCTTTTTGGTGTAAATTAATTATGAATTGTATACTTCCACCTCAAGATATAAACAAAAAAAAAACATTTAATTAAATATAAAATTCATTTAAAATTATATTTTTATTTTTATTTTAAAAATTTTATATTGGATTGTTATTTCCATTTCAAAAATTAAAATTTAAACAAAAATTTGTTCCCCAATGGCTCCTCTGTTTCTGGGCTTATCAAATTATAATGGGTTTGACGATTCTAAACATGCAGACCAATTTCTATAGCTACCTATAATATTTACATTGACATCAATATTAGTATATTTCTTTTTCTATATAATAACCTATTAGTTAAATTACAAATTGAAAATACATAATGATATATGTAGTAAGTATAATTTGGGAGATTTTGTGAATGGTTGTGATTCTCGCACACAGATAAACACACATACGCACACACACACACACATATATATATATATTAAAACCCATCAAATAAAATTCAGAAACTATAGAACTTAAAGAAGGAATTTAGTTCGAGATCATGTCTCTCTAGTCATGTTTGTATTTTAGTGGAGAATTTTGCTACTAATAGTAGTAAGCTTTTCTTCAATCCACATCTATAAATATATACTTATATACTTATACGGTTATATGCTTGTTGGCTTTTATGTATATATAGTATTACCCTGGTTCAATTCATGCACAAAGAATAACATTCTTGTCTACGTATACAGCACCAGGAATATCGAATAAGCTGCTATGTTTCTCGTCTTTCACATAAATAATAAATTAACTTGAATAATTAATTATCTTATAATCAAGCTTGTGAATATACATACATAATATATACATCTGTGTGTGTGTGTGTGTGTGTGTGTGCATAAATAGTTTCTAAAAGGTTGTAAAGCGGCTGTCTATATTTCTCCTATGTAGACAAGGGGAGCTGGTATCTGGAAACTTTGGTTTAGATGCTCTGCTTTCACTGATTAAGGACTTTTGCCAAGTATATATATCAGCATATACATATAGTTACATATATTCCAATTCCCAGAATTAGTCCTGCAGATTTATTTTTATTAACTCTGAAGCCTAATGCATCAGCTTATTGTAAGAAACTATAAAAGCACACCCTGACACACGTGTGTGTGTATATATATATATATACATACCACGCAATTACCACGTATACGTTTGTGTGTATGGATGGTGTGACTGCTGCTGGAAGAATAATACTTCATTGGCTTGCATTCAATGGTGGGGAATTGGGAATAACTGTGCCATTAACTTTTCAGCATGCATGCATATGCAGTACATGATTATCTTTTTAAGTGAAAAGTAAATTATTATTAATGAAAGTATATATATATATACCTTTTCTATTTTGTATTTTCTTTTTAATTTACCTTTTGCAAAAAGTCTCGATTTTTACTCATACATTTTTGTAGGTTGTACGTGCCTTTTGGCGCTCAATTTCAATTACACACATACACAAACGTAACATATATACATATATATATATACATACATACATATATATATAAATGAAAATTAGTATTAATATATATATAAATATATATATTTAAAAGATTGATGGGTTTTAATTTGAAACATAAAGTGCAAGTCCTAATAAAAAATTCTCATGTCTAGCTAGTGTGAGATAATGATAAAAATAATACACGATATCTTAATTTATATAATTTATCCTAAAAATTGTACCAATTGATTAACGTTATCTATAAGTATATATTTACATATAGATGAGTTAATTAATGAATCATAATGAGATTTAGAGATTATATAAATACGTATGTGTATATATAAGTTATATTAAATTGGTTAGGGTATGCGGATCATAAATATGAAAAGCACTGAATTTCAAAAGAAAGATTTTAAGGAATATGTTTTTTCATGCTTTGATATGAAGGAATATATATATATATATATATATATATACATATTTATATATATATATTGGGTTGGCATCGAGACCCACGAGGTGGTATTTGCTTTTGGTTAAGGCGCCCATATATATCCATGTATATATATGTGTATGTATATCATCCATGATCATGAGAGGCATCCATGAGGATGATATTCCTCCCCCTTTTTGTGTGTCAGCAGTCACGTTTTGAACCATTAACGTGATCTGATCAATATCATCATCCGGCTTTAGATACCATTCCCTGTCTAAAGGGTTATTTCAATTTATTCATAAATATATAATACAATTAAACATTTATATATCATCATCAAATGATATATCAGACACCCATCATCATCATTAAAATTCACCTTAATTCTTTTAAAGATTTAATTTCAATTTTTAGGAATAAGAAAAGACAGTAAATATTGTACGCGAAAAAATTACACCCAAGAAAACGTTTATTAGTGGTAAGTCCTTACTATATATACATGCATACATGAGGATAATACATACATACATACATACATACATACATGTGTATACATACACGCATACAAACACCCGACAATAACAAATATATATTAATGTCATAATGACTTGAATATTATATACATAGAGTGTGTGTGTGTGTGTGTGTTTATATATATGTATTGGTGCTTTTGGGGGAAGTTAGAGGAATATATATGAAGGAGGAGATAGATATAACTTGGGTAAGAAGAAGAGATACCATTGTGAAAGAGGAATATCTTGTGTTTCTGGAAAAAATTTAACTTGGTCTCTATCTCTTCCTCAGCCCTTAAGTTTAATTAGACTAAATATATAGGTAATTTTGTTTATACAGCTTGTATATGTGTATATATATATGGCCAGCTTGCTTATTAGAGCCTTCATATCTGCGTTTGCACACTTGTGTTTCTTTCGCTATCCGAAAAATCATTTACAACCATACGCCAAAGAAATCCCAGTGAGAACCAACATCAACTACCACCGCAACATGCCTAGGGGTCGACCACTTTCTTTGCAGGTAACTCCCTTCGCTTTCAATCCATTTTCTTTTTCTTTGTCCTTATATATATATATATATGTATATCTTTCCCTCTCTCTCTTTGTCTCTATATATATACATATATCCAACTTGCTGTGAAGCAAATGACAAAGCAACTGTAATTGATAACTTCTGAAATATCCATATGTACATATATATTATGTCTATCTCTCTCTGTGTTATTCAAGGCTGTTGTATATACAAAATATCCATATGTACATGCATGTTTGGTTTACACTCATTTCTCTGAGTAAAATTATGGTTTCTGTGCTGTTTTTGTTGCAAAATTATTTGTATGCAGATGTTATATAGTATTGACATATATGAATATTTATCAAACATAATAAAATTGTATGAATTTACTTTCAAAGATTAAATTGATAGAAAGCTGAGTTAAATCCATTATATTTTAATAATTCTCAACTCATGTTGTTTTCTTTACAATAGCTTTCAGAGGAGGATCCAAATATTTTAACCTCCATCCTCTCTAAAACAATTACGAACCCACAAAAAATGAGTTGGTTTAGTTCTTAATACAAATATATACACACATACATATTATAACTCTTTCTTTTTTGAACGAATATAATATATGTTTTCGGATACACATTTTTTTTCAGAAGAAGATGAAGTATGATCCATGTCCGAGCTATATGGCTTTGGGATGAAGTGAATCATATTTATTTTAATCATATGTCTCTAAATATTCCAGCTTTAATTATTTAATTTTTAGTCATTATATATAATATATATATATATATATATATCTAGTCCCAGGACCTAGCTTGGCCGGCCATAGTGGATTTAAGAATCTGGAAACAATGAGTTTAATCTAAACAAAACATTGCTTTTCTTAATCCCTTTGGTTTCCTATAAGAGGCATAAAAGTTTCTTTCAAGAACAAAAGGAATAAAGGAATCCTCACAAAGATATCTATATAATATATAAATATATGAGCCCACCACCGCCCACTGATCCGGTTAACATTTAAATTAATTCCTTTAATTAATTACTTTATCCAGACCGTGGAGCTCAAAGTCCGGATGTGCTGCAGTGGGTGCGAGAGAGTCGTCAAAAACGCCATTTTCAAGCTTAAAGGTTCTTCAAATTTAATTGATTATACTTTATTTTTCTCAATCACTAAATCACATTGAACAAAGTTAATATATATATATATATTCATATATGTATGTAATTAGGTATAGATTCGGTGGAGGTAGAGTTAGAGATGGAGAAGGTGACGGTGGTTGGCTACGTTGACCGAAACAAAGTACTGAAAGCTGTGAGGAGAGCCGGGAAGAGGGCGGAGTTCTGGCCGTACCCAGATCCTCCTCTGTACTTCACGTCGGCTAACCATTATTTTAAAGACACAAGTAATGAGTTCAAAGAGAGCTATAACTATTACAGACATGGCTATAATCTTGGGGACCGCCATGGAAATCTGCATGTTAGTCATCGTGGAGACGATAAGGTCAGCAACCTATTCAACGATGACAACGTTAATGCATGTTGTGTCATGTAAATCATTATTACACCTAATATATATTTATATATATGTATATGTAATGTTTCATTTGTAATTATCAGTATGTAATATATGGGTGATTAGTGTTATTGTGAAGTTTATGTGTAAAATATGTGTCTGTATATATATATATATATGTAAATATATTTTCGAGGTTTCATGTGTTTTTGCTTTTGTTTATTGAGAATAGATTATGAATATAAGAAGTAGTATGTGTATAGATATAGGAAAGAGGGGAGGAATATATTCGGAAATTCAATTAGGAAAACTTTCTTCTATTTGGAATTGAAAAGGTGAAGAAACCTCGGCATGCATTAATTTAATTGTGGCATTTGTTGCCTTCATATATATATATATATACACACACACACATTAATATAATAATATAAAATATAACTTTTAAATAAAAACACATGATAATATAATTTAGTTTAAATTTATAATTATTTATACATAAAAGACTTATTAATTATTTAATTAAATATTAATTAATAAATATGTTTGATTTTAGGAATAACAAATAATACGTATTTTAAATTAAAACATTATTATATTTTAAGGATTAAAAATTTATACTTTCAAAATTATCAGATTGTAAACAAACATTTTTTTTTGTATAAATAGAAAAACCCTTATTATATTATGGGCACTTGTGTATTAGTTTTAATGGATAAAATTTTGTTACTTTATAATAAGATATCTATTTTGGTGCAACATATTGAGAATTCTTGATCACTCGTAGACCATATTAGATTAAATTAGTATATAGAATTAATTGAATGAATTTTGGTCCAACAGCTATTTATATTGCAATTTAATATTAAAGGTTTAAATTTTAATCTTTATCTAAGTGCAAAACTAATATATATTACTTTATATTCAAAATATATATATTATTTCTAAAAATAAGCACATATAACTGGGAAAGGAAAATATTAAAAATTATTGTAGATGAGATAAAATATAATATGCTAAGGGGAGTGTAGCAACCTGAAACTTAAAAAGAAATAAATTATAAATTGAATGCAGAAGCGAAATAATAGTATTAGAGTTTATATTCTTTACACAACAATTCAGAATATCCGATAGGGATACGAGAATGATCATTATTAAAGAACAACAAATCAAAGAAATAAATAAAAAATAAATAACTTAACATCATATTCGCAACCCTCTTGTGGATCGGGATATGAATTTTGGTCCTCTTAATCTGAAATGATTAATGAAAGAGTGAGTTACACTAGTCTAGTAAGAATATCACACTACTCACTAATACAGAAATGAAAGTTGGTAACAATCATAAAAACAACTAATAAAGCTCTTAATTTAATAAATTCATTTATCATAAGTAAAATTATTTATTGTACACTTACCGTAGCGAAATTTTTAAAACTGACCTATAGAAACAATACCACAAACAATATTATGACATCATATTCAATTAACCAAAATAACAATTTTTCTTTTTTTTTTTCTACCTACTGGTATCCATGAAGGTCCATAGGGATATCCCTACTACGTGTGAACCCTTATTCAATATTTTCAAGTAACCGGCCGTTTCCGTACCCCGTCCAGTATGAGCGCAAAAAATACCATCTTTCAATACTCCATCCGGTATGAGGGTGAAACGGGTCATCCCCATACCCCGTCCAGTATGAGCGCCAAAATACCAATCCTCTGTACCTCATCCGGTATGAGGCAACGTTTACGGTATGGTTCTCTATGCACCCAGTCCATCCACCATTTTTCAGAATATTCAGTAAAGCTATCATTCATTCATTCACTTTATCAAAGAATTTTCTGTTTACATTTAATTTTTAGTTTCACAGTTTAATTGTAAATCACGCAAAACAAGCAATAAATGCTCCAAGGAAACACCATTGAATCATCATATCAACTATAGTATAATATTATGCATTTGAAATAGTAAAATCAATCAAACAGGATCAACAGTGAATAATAACTGGTTCCAGCTCCATTAGTAACATGTGATTAATTATCGAGATTTTCTAAATTGTACAAGATACCACATTATTTATAACTAGACTTTAATTCTATAATAAGGAATAAGGTGAGAGATTCTTACCTGAATCGGTGTCCGAACGCTAAACTTTCAGTCGCGTCTACTGGCAATCCTCGGGCTCCCTAAATTTTTCTTTGCAGATTAAAACACACTCCAAGTATATAGAAAGACTCTAAAAAACCTAAAACCGGTATTAAAACCCTCTTCTAGCCAATTTCAGAATTCCAGCACGGCAGCACCATCGTGCTCCGGCAACAGCACCGTCGCCCGCGATGGCAGTTTACCTCGGACTGACCGTTTTCGACCGGTTTTGTACTCATCCCTTCGAGAAAATAAGTTAAGGGATCTCGGTTGACCGAAAAAAGTCAAAAAATAGAAACTTATCGGCGGTGGAATTTTCCAGTGCAGTAGCTTCACTGGCTCACCTTCGCAGTTGAGTGTTTTTCTTCGGTCAACCTCTTTTGACGGTCGGTTACGGTGCGACAGTCGGCTCTCTCTCCCGGCGATTGGTTCTTCTTCTCCAGTGGGGAGCTGGCGGCTAGAGCTAAAATTCGGTGTGAAGTGAGATATTTATATCTGTCTTCCTTTAATCTGAACCGTTTATTGCATTTGATCTGGACTATCCGATCGTGTTAAAATAAAAAATAAATATGGATCGTTCATCGCGATTTAATCTGGACCATACGATCGCACCTGAGGAGGGAATGAATCCGGACTGTCCACGTGCGTGGGAACAATTCTGAACTGTCCGATCGCCGGCACATGGATTGTTAGCGCGACCTCTCGCGTGGCACCATATCAGCATGACTTGCCATGCGGTGTGCTCTGGTTCATTGGGGTTACTGACTGGGCAGTCCTACGTGGCATATTTTTCTTAAATTATATTTTGACCCCCAGTTTATAATTTTTTTTCAAAAATACCTCCAGAACTCAAATTTTCACCCTTTTTTCCTAAAATTATTTTTAATTTCATCATCTACCTATTTTTGCTAATTTTTACATTAAATACAATTCATAAATTAAAAAAATTATATTTTTTATATTAATTTTAATTTTTTTAAAATTAATTACGAGTATTATAGGGAGTCTTGCAGAATGGTAACTAGGAAACTTCTAAAATATGAAAATTTTATAAGTTCAATATATTGACCATTATATATAGTTTATGTAACACTTGGGGTCAAGATTTAGATTCAGGATAAACAAGTTATATTACTAAATAAATTTTAAAAAATTTAATTTTCAATTTTTATTTGAAAGTTTAAAGAAAATTATATTTTGGGGTGTATTTGAAAATAATTTTCAAAAGCTATGAAAAAACTGAAAATAAAAAAAGATATATTTGAAAAGAAAATTAGAAACCTTGGGTAAAAGTACAAATAACAAAAAATGGATCACATAAGACTGCCACATTAGCGCCGTGACCACGTGCGCCACGTGGCAGACACGCGGACACGCATCCACGCAAGAAGCCACGCGGGCAATCTGCGTGTCAACGAATCCGATGGCCCAGATTTACTCCTACGCGCACGGACGGTTCAGATCCGTTTCCTCTTCAGACGTGATTGAACGACCATGATTGATCCAATCATGCGACCCAGATTCATTTTTCATATAAGATTGATTCGACGGTCGGGAATAGATTACGTCTCTTCAAATGGACGATCCATATTTAATAAATAGGAGTATTTAAACTCTTCTTCCTCAGAAAACCTAACCCTAGCCGCAATTGATCCCGCTGGAGAAGAAAAAGAAGGGCGGCTGGAAGAAAAGCCAGCCACCATCGCTGTCGCACCAAAGCCACTGCCGACATCAGGGATGTGAGTTTTTTACCCATTTCGCTTCAAAATTCGATTCTAAATATCTCCATACTCATATCGGTGCTGAAAAAGTAAAAGAAAAGTTGAAATTGAGAGCGGGGCTTGGCCGAGCCGCCGTACTGCGACCTAAAACAATTCCGGTGAGCCCGACTTCCCTTCCCATTTCCTTCTATTTTTTGACCATTAGATTCCTAACTTTTTTCTGGTATAAGATAACCAAAGAAAATCCCCGAGCGCGAGAGAGGAGCGACCGTCGGAGTAGAAAACCTCCCCGTTGGTAAGCTTCACTTTTTTCCTTTTTTCAACTAACATAGGCTGTCTAACCACGAAGTTTGCAGGTTTTCATAACGGATCAGTCAAAATCGACCAAAGCTGGCCAAACCGAGAGGAGACACCGCCGTATACAGCAAAATCGGTGTTGGAGCACGGCGGCGGTGCCGTGTCAGAACCCTAAACTGGTCGAAAAATTCTAAAACCCTTAGTTTTAGCATTTCTAGATTTTTCGAGATAAGTGACGCGTATTTTCAATTTTCATAGAAAAAAAATCTAGAAATTCAAGAACTGCCGGGAAGTATAGTGAAAGAAGTGGTGTTTCGAACACCGATTCGGGGTAAGAATTCTTCATCTTTTTTTTGTTATGGTCAATTAAAATTTAAATAATAATAACTGGTGAAATTTGTGAATATTGGCAACCATTTATTAATTAAATACAGGTCACCAATGGAGCCGATAACTGGTTAGTGTATAGTTTATCTATACTGCCTATTTATTTCTATATTGTCTCAGTTGCTTACTGTTACGTCGTTTGCTTTAATTGATTGATTTTAATTGTTTTCTTGTTCCCTAGTTTATTTAACCATTTATCCTCATATGTTGATTGGTTTTAAATAAATGTTATTACTGCGATTTTCTTAGTTATTTAAATATCAAATTATATTATTTGTTTAATTGTCGTCTATTGTTATGCAATTATGAAATAAGATTTTTGTATGTAATTGATGACTAGTCAATGATGAGGATGTGTATGTGTATGTGGAAGGCTTACTGAGTGTCATAGGAAAGGGTGTACGGATCCGGTACATAGGGCAAATTCTACTGTAGACATTACCTCAGTCGAACGGGGCTGAGAAGTCTCATACCGGAAGGGGTTGGAAAGTATTTGTTCACCCTCATATCGGATAGGGTATTGAGGAGGTGGTACGTTTGGCGCTCATTAATAGACGGGGTGTGGGGATAACTGATTATTTAATAGATTAGATATTGGATTCATGTATATGGAGAATCCCTATAGACTCCCAAAGATACTCGTAAATAAGTAAAAATGTAAAATTTAATTATTATTGTTTCTTAAAACGTCTAATGAATTGTTATCTTGATTCTTGACTTTATAAGTCGTATTTGAGAACCTAAAAAATGAGTATGAAATCACATTTTTAAAATTAAATAAATATAACTAAAAAGAAAAATGATTCAATAGGTTATTTTGTGATTTTTACCAACATTTGATTTTCTATATCGGTTATTAAATGTTAATATTTTTTGTAACGACCCCATAAATAGCCAAAGAAAATATATAATAACTTAAGTGCGAAATCAAAATAAAATGTTAAAGTTTACATTTCTTACACAATAACTTAAAAGTATTAAACAACATTACATAATTTATTATTTGAAAGAAATACAAGAAATAAGGAAACAAATGAGAAATAGAAAATATCTAACATCTACTCGCAATGTTCTTGTGGATCGGGCTCTAGAACTTGATCCTCTTGATCTGAAATGATTAAATAAAGGATGAGTTACACCAGCCCAGTAAGAATATCATATTATATCACCGACACATAAGTAAATATAGGTATAAAATCGAAAATCACTACTTGAGCATTAAATTTAGTAAATTCGTTTATCGATCATAAAATCATTTGTTGTCCACTTACCATCGTAAAATTTATGAAAACAACATGTAAGAACAATAATATCATACAAACCAATATCTAATGCATAATCAATTATCATAGTACATATTATAAATTCATATCTAACCAAACAATAACTATCATTCTTTTCACCAGCCTGTTGGTATCCATGGGGGTTTATAAAGATGCCCCCACTACACGTGAACCCTTTCATTTATCATTCTCAATTATGGACCGTCCTCATACCCCGTCCAGTATGAACACTAATTTACTAAAGCTCAATACCCCGTCCGGTATGAGGGTAAAGCGGGCCGTTCTCATACCCTATCCGGTATGAGTGCCAAATTATCAAGTCTCCATACTCCATCCGGTATGAGACAACGTTCACGGTAGGATTCCCTATGTACCCGGTCCGTCCATCATCTCCCAGGATATTCAGTAAAACTGTCGTTTTATCTAATTATTTAATCACACAATTTATTTACTGTTTAAACTTCATTTTTTTCGATTTAGCAGTAAACACGTAAAATAACCATACATGCGTTCAAACCATAAAATAAATAAATAAAATACCATCATGCAATAAACTATAAAAACAATCAACAACAGTAGTAGATAATTTCCAATTCCGACTCCATTAGCAACCTGTCATTAATTATGCATGTTTACTAAAATTGCATAAAATACCACATTATTATTTATTTAAACTTCGTTTCTATGATAGAGAATAGGTTGAGGGATCCTTACTCGATTTGAAGCCTAAAAAACTAAACTGTTTACTGCGCCTACTGGCGGTCCCTGAGTTTCTTTAATTTTTCTTGGAAACTGAAACACGCTAATAGTACTTACAAATGTTCTAAATAAACTCAAAAATTAGTCTTAGGGCCCACTCGGCTAATTTTGAAAATCCGGCATGGCGGTGGTCCGTCTCGAGTCGGTCATTTTCGGCCAATTTTGCATCGATCCCTGCGAGAAAACATGTTAAAGGGTCTCGGTTGACCAAAAAAATATAAAAAATCGAAACTCACCGGCGACAGGGCTCTCCGGTACGGCGGCTCCTCTGGCTCACGTTGCGGTTGAGTGTTTTGCGTCAGTCAACCTGTAGAGAAGAAAACGGTGATCACAACGGTGAAAAAATTACGCTAAACGGGAATCGGGAAGGACCTCAACGAACATGTTTTGTGAAATTCTCTGCGGCAGTGCCGACAGGCTTCACTGGTGTTTTCCGACCAACTGGCCAGTCTTTTTGCTCTGATTTGACCGTGGGTGAGCTTAAAATTGAATTTCGTGCAAAATGAGAAGTTTTTACCTTTTTTGACGGTCAGAAAAGGTTCTGATGCAGTAGCGGGTGGCGATGGTCGACTCCCCGGCAGCTGGGTCGTCTTCTCTAGCGAGGGGTTCTGGCGGCTAGGGTTAGAATTTGGTGCGGATGGGGGTTATTTATATTCATCTGCTTTTGATCTACACCGTCTATCGTATTTGATCTGGATCGTCCGATCGCATTTGAATCTGGCCGTTCGATCGCATTTGGGAGAGAGTGCATCCAGGTCGTCCGTGTGCGCGGGAACGGACCTCAGCAGTTCGATTGCGGGCACATGGATCGCCTACGTAGCACCCGACTTGGCCTCCCGTATCAGTGTCTCTGCCACTTGGCACATCCTGGTTGGTCAGGGCTGCTGACCGGGCGTCTAACGTGGCAAAACTTTCCAAAATTACTTTTTAGTCCATTTTTTTCGATTTTTTTTTCAAAAATACCCAAAAAATTTAAATTTTCACTTTTTTTTTTCAAAATTATTTTCAATTAAATCATTCATCAATTTTATTTCATTTTTTACTTTAAATTAAATAAAACAAAATATAATAAAATAAAATAAATTAATAACAATTATATTTATTAATTATTTAATTAAAACAAAAAATTTGTAGGTGTTACATTTTTACAGAGATGGTGTAACTTATTCTATTTATTTAATTATTTTATATCAGGAGGATTAAAATCTAAATTCTGAACAGTAAGAAAATTAGTGATTAAAGGTTGTCTTCCGTTTTCTATCAGTTGCGCTGCAAAAGTCAATTCTATAAGTTTCTAGTCGCATTTTATTTTTGTTAATTTAATCTCATTTAAAAGATATTCTTGTAACCCTATTTGACATTTTGATTTAACTGTATAAAGAATGTAAACTCTAAATTTTTAATAGTGTTTCTTCGTATATTTTATTAATTCAATATTTTTATTTAATTAAATTTTGGTTCTTTATAATTTATTTATACATATCTACATATGCTGCCCGAATATTCAAAAGTCAATATATTGACCATTATATATATATATAGTTTAATTAGTCATTAATTTTTCAGATAAAAAATTATCTAATTCAATATTTTATTAAAAATTGCGTGTGCACATAGTAATTTTTTATTTAAATTTTTAGTACATATTAAAAATCTTACGGACCAAACACACGCACTTATATATGGAATGTTTATTCTGACTTCATAATTATTCTATCGATTAAATCTCAACAATAATCTAATTTTTTTTGAATTATAAATTTTTTAATAAAATATTATATATTTTAATAATTAAATAAAATTTTTATATTAATAATAATATAATCAATCTTTTAATAAAAAAATAATAATACAATAATCTTATAATAAAAATATATATAAAACATATACTCCGACTTAAATTTATAAATTCATATAAAAAATGTGAGTACCAATTGTCAAACTAAAACATAATTCAATTAAGATAAATTTAGTTAATGTTATATATGTAATAATTAATATAAAGTTTTATAATTATAAATTGAGGAGAGTTAAATATCAAGAGAGATGAATTAAAAAATTAATATGTAATAATCCCATTTTCAAAATATAGGATACTAATTATTGGGAAAATTATATTCGTTAGTAGTTACCATGTACATATGCATAAACTTTATTAATAAATTAAAATAATAAACATTAATTTTGTATTGCAGCTTCAGCTATGCATAAAAAAATTAAAAGTATATATTAAGATAATTTTAGTTGGTTTAAATAAATAATAAATGATATTCGAGATAGATAATATTAGTTATTGTGTTATAATTTTAATTAAATAATTAATAAATTCTTATTCCACTCATATATAATAAGGTGCAATTTGTTTTTTGGTTAAATTGAGGGGGACAAATAGTTATTTAAGCTAATAATTTATTAAGAATAGAGAAAAAGAAAAAATGGAAAATAAGGTGAGAAACCTTGTCTCCTCCCTGCCTCTGTGCCTTTCGTCCTCCTTTCGAGTGTCAACTCTACAAAACTTTGGAGAAGACGAGAGACAGGAACCGAAAAGTCGAATCAAGTTCTCTCTCTCTCTCTCTCTCTCTCGTTCTCTCCGGCAATTACTTGGTTCTTTCTTGAGGTATCTGCCTTCTTTGTTTTTCTTTACCTACTTTTTATACTTTTTTCTCTTTTGATTGTTATCCGACGACGACGGTGGTGGTGGTGGTGGTGGTCTTTAACGCTGTTTGATTATGTTGATATTATAATCTGCTTCTGTATTTTGCAAATTTGTACTGGTTGTTTTTTGCTAATTCGCGAAACTGAAGTAAAAATTTCTATATGCTCTGTCGTGGATTAGGCTTAGAGGTAGTTGAGAAGATGACAAGTGAGAGTGAGATCAGACGTAACGGGAAAAGCTCCCGTTTGTCAGCTCTTGCTCAACCCTTCACCGTCAATCGCCCTTCTCTGCGACCTAATTCCACTCAATTTCATCCTTTACCTGTTTCTACTGCTTCCACTTCTCATATCAACTCAGGCTCGAGCGCCTATGGACATGACCGACCCCCTGAAATCCAACCTAGTTCCTACTACAAACCCTACCCGCCAGATGCACATGAACCTCGAGCTGCTTACGTCATCCCTCGTGACCCGGTATCCGATTCTTTGGCTGTTGCTGAATCGGCTCAGGCTGGTTATTTTTCGGGATTGGTCTCTGCATCTCACGAGAGTGGTAGTGTAGACGGGTTGGGCCAAGGAGAGAGTTCCTTTAGCGACTCGATGGATTTCAGTAGCTTGCTTAAACAAGGTATTGTTCGATTGCCACGCTTACTTTGTCCTTCCAAATTCTCATGCTCACTATTCCACTCGTATTATTTGGTCTGCATACGTCTTTGATTTATTGAATTCTGTCAATACTGTGTTCTCTGTGTTTTATATAAATTGGACAATGCTAGGATTTCTCAATGATGATGAAATAAATTGCATTTTCATTTTTACTGCAAGCTAAATTCATATTGTCTTAGTACATGTTTTGTCAGCTTATGAATTTTTCATTTTTCCCGTTGAAATTTACTTTTTTTTTTTTTTTAAATAAACGTTGAAATTTACTTTTGAGGTTGTGGCATTAAGTTTCCCTTTCTTTATGCAGATTCCTGAAATGAAAACTGTTAGGGACTCTTGTAAAAAAAGGGAGTAGATTTGGTCCATCCGACCATCTCTGCAAGAGGACTATTATGTTCTAATCAACCACTTAGTGCCATGAGAAAATACTGATACATGACCACTCTTTTTGAATCCAGTATCCCTTGGCAATTCCTCAATCAAGAAACTCTCACATGATAGTATCTCTTTGACTTACACTCTCCTCGAACAGAGGGTATTGCACAACCCTAGGCCAAAGTTGTCAAATCTTTACCATTTAATCCAATTAATGGAGAATTTATGTCGTTTATGGTCAGGGCTAGGTAATAAATTTCAACAAATTAGGATTCATAAAGCAAACAAGAATTTAAGGCAAATTCTAATGAAAAGATTATGTGCCACGGTGTACATAGTTCACTTATGATCCATAGTTCCAATAGGCCATAGCAGAGCCATGAGATTATGATCCATAGTTCAATTAGATGGTTCTGGAATTGAATTGTGGTAAGATCTGCAATCAGGTTCGTGTCCCCTCTTCTATACAGTTGATGGAAGTAAACCTACATTCGAAGACAAGAGCAGGGGTCTGGCATGGGCTGAAGATCACCATTGACACGGAATGGTTCTGGTCATAGTCCATAAAATTTTATATCAGCGGAAGTAGTTTATTTGTTGTTTGTTCTTGCAAAGGATCTATAGTGCTCATAGTAATATGTGTATCATATCACAAAGATCAAGATGTCTGATTCAAATTAGTTCATGACATGCTTAAAGAATGCTTTGGTAATTGTCATCTTGTCTAAATCATTAATTGTTAAATGGCTCTTGTTGATCATGTTGTGAATCGCCTTTAACAAATACATGAGGCCTTCACAGGTTTCTTGTTTAGAAGCCATCCTAACCTTCATGTAGAAGATCTTTGGGAACTTAGATTATACTTTGTAAAGTTCTGTCTTCTGTACATGGATGGCACCCCTTTGGTGCCATGTTAGCACTACTGTTTTTCTCTAAAAAATTTATATTTCCATATCTTCTTCCATTTTTAATGTGTTTGTACAGTGTTTATTTGTAAATCGGGCCTCAACGAGTTCTTCCATATGTATTATCATATTTGATATTTTTTGACAAAAGATTGCCATGGCAATTGATGAATCTAAGTAATGCTTTTAGGATTGGCAATACAGTTCTCAAAAGCATCAGCATTATTTAGTAAATATTTTTTAAATCATATAGCAAGCCAGTATAGTGGAATCAACTCAATAGGCATTGAAGAAATAAGTATTTAATCAGAACTTTATGCTTGTTATGATTCACAAGGTATTGCAAAGGAGAGCTTCTTCCCAAATTTTAATGCGCATACTGCTGCACCTACAATTTCCCAGACATCGGAATATGGTTTTGCTCAACCTCCAATTTTCAGAACCTCAACCAATTCTTCTGTAATTGATTCAGTTTCATTGAAGAATGTGGATCCATATTTTAGTGGTGCAGCGAGAAACAAGAAAAATGTCCATGATCTGGTTAGCATTTCGGAGGCTCAAATTCTGTGCAGTGCCTCAGATGGAATAACTTGTACTGAGAAAGTCCTAATTCGAAATGGGGAGAGAAAGAGGGATGAGTTTGTCACAAGCAGGGCACTGGATCCCTTGGTTGGGGATTCATCTTTACCACGAATCAATTGTCCAAAGGTTTCTGATAGTGTCAATCCAAAAACGCATGGCGCTGAAGCAAGTGGTCCTGTTGGTGATATGTTTTTTGACCAGAATGACTCTGAGGTGGATTCACCTTGTTGGAAAGGAACCCAATTTTATAGATCAACAAGTGCAATTTCCAGAACAGTTAATTTGCAACATTCTAGTAATGAATTAGAAGCATGCAACAGATTGAATCCTTTGGCTCCTCAGTTTTTGCCATCTGACAGTAGACAAACTATAGACACCGAAAAGGAATATGATGCAGATGATTTTTCATCATTCCAGAGAGCATTGTCTCCATCTGTTGCTTTCTTCTCAGGGGACCACGGAGTAAGAGAATTTGTTAAAGCAGGAAGATGCACTTCAGAAGTGATCAGTGTTGTTGGGATGCAATCTTCTAGTAATGTCCATGAGCCAGAAATACCCTGTATGCTACCTCACCAGTCGTATGGATGCTCTGCACTTGAATCTCCTGGCAGAGATTCTAATTTTGTGAACTTAAACCATGCTGGTAAGGTGACAGATGCGTCTAACAGATTGAATCCCTTGGCCCCTCACTTTGTACCTGCCACTGCTAAACAAGACGGTTGTCAGCCTGAGAAAGAATATGATGGAGATGATTCCTCATCTCTCCAGAAAACTGGATATTCTTTTGTTGCTTTCTCATCTGGAGACGGGGGATTGGTTGTGGATTCTGTTAAAGCACAAAGATCTTCAGAAGTTAGCAATATTGTTAGGACTCTTTCCAATGCCAATAAACTGGAAATAGGCAATTTTCTGCCCAGTTTGCCACATAAAAGCTCTGTGATTGAACATTCCTGTGTTCATGAACCTCAACCATCTCTTGTACCGAAGTACTTGAGATCTAATAATCAGCTGGTGTCAGGGCCAAATTTTCCATGTTCCGTTAGGAGTATTAGTGCCACTGAAAATAATTCTTTGAATAATATGTCTTTCCATGTAACAGAAAATGTCTTAAATTCATCTTCCACTGAAGTTGAACTCTTTCCCAATTTTACTCAAACACGTCAGGGTTCATGCAAATCTGCATCTTCAAAAATAGATGGTGAATTACTGCTTAATATGATGCATGAGCTATCAGAGTTGCTTATTCAGCACTGTTCAAAAGATTTTCTTTCAATGAATGAGAGTGAACATGACATTGCCTGGAATGTTATTAGTAACCTTTGTTTATATATCAGAAATACAGCTCCAAGGGATCAAAAGTCCGAATCAAGCCATCCGGGTACGTCGTATAGTCCCAGGCAATTAGCTGATGAGGGTAAGGTATGTTTTTACTTTGTTACTAAACTGGGTGCATGACCATTGATCTCTATATTATGGAAATCAATTGCAACTTTCTTGTGATATTATCTGGAGAACAAATGATTCTTTAAGATCAAAGAGTTGTTGAATATGCAAGTTAAACATTACTAGTTCTATATTGCTTTTCTTCAATGGCAGTAATAGTTAGTTTTCTGTCCTGTCCTCCCTCAGTCTTCTCAGAAAAACAAATCCGAAACACCCTTGGCTTAAAATCCTCCTGTCTCTGTTTCTCTCCCTCTCTCTAAAACCTCCCACCCCCCAGTAAAAAAAAATCCATGCTAGCATCCTTGTTACAAAAACCAGAATCTTCTTTTGTTCATGTGTTTTTCTTTTTTTCTGTCTCTATGACCTCTCTCTATTTTCTCTTCAGTTCATGATCTTTTTCACTTGAGAGGGTTGCTGGCTTGTCTAGGAAGTGCGATCCTACACCTCTTGTTTGATAATGGCCAACTCTAGGTTTTCTTTGATAGACCGTTCTGACCAAGTTCAAGACACGATGTGATTCTCAGTCCCACATAGGAAAGATATATATTATTGAGCTCAGTTCAAATTACACACTCCTAATAATTTGAGTTTAAACTTTTAAAAGGCTAGTGATTTGAGTATAAAAGGTTGTTGAGTTAGTGATGCTTGCGTCCGGGCATTATAATCGGTATTAGAGAACATGTTGGTTTGGTGACTCCAATTGGTATGATTTTGGACCTGATGGGTATTTGAATTGTGACTGTATGATGTGCCCTTGATGAGAACATCAAAAAATTGAATAGTGGATATTGTGATATCCTAGTACCACATTAGAAAGATACATAATTGTTAAGTTTCATTAAGGACTCAAGTTATATACTACCAATAATTTGAGTTTAAACTTTGAAGGATTAGTGGTTTGGATTCAAAAGGTTATTTAGTTAATGGTGTTTGGGTCCGGAGCATTACACAAAATACTCTTTGACACTGTTGTTAGGGCCAATCTCATCTATGCGAGTCTAATTAGAGTTGTGGGTTTGACTTGGGGATAACTCTTCCTTTGGCTACAAAAAGACATTATTATTGATGATCCTAAATCTGGGCGCACTTTGTTTGATATTAGGGTTGTTCGTAAACAGCTCTCTTTCTCTCTTTGAACATCCACCTGAGGCTTATTGCAAGCCACAAGGTGTTTTGAAGGATCACGTGGGAAAGAGATAAGTTTTTTGATGCTTTTGAGATATAGAAAGCGAGATGCCCAGCTGCTTCAAATTTTATCTTTTTAAGTCATGTAATGATCAATAGCTCTCTAATTAATATAAAAATATAATTAGGCAGGATATGAATGGTGTGTTTTTGAGGGTTTCAAAGTGTAAGATTTGTAAAGATGTGAAATCCTGGATCGTCCCGTCATCAAATTACTAGTTCTTATCTTCCGAAAAAGTGTTTTGCTGCCCAGGCACTGAATTAAATTAGTTTCATTGTAATTTGTAGACCATATTTATTTTACTGGTGCTTTTCTTGTCGGTCAGACATTTTCACAGTTAAATGGTTACCTACTGTCCTTATTTTTTTTTGGTAATTTATCTTTATTTATGCATCCATATAAATTGTAGCGGACTTTTTCCATAGCATTTACCTTTTATATAGTTTTGTTTTTATTGATCAATTTTTCTGCCTACTTAATCTGAGAACCTGAATCTTGGTTAGCACTCAAAGGGAACTCAACTAAAAACCTACAGGTGACGAGAACTAAGGGTAAAGCTGTTCAAAATGATCTGGAGATGAAAGGAAGTTGTTCCGTATTGTTTGATGAAGCACTGGGTTCTTCTTGTCCAGGCAACAATGAGGGAAGGGGAAAAGCCAATGGCATAACTCAGGTATCATTTAATATTGTCATGCTGACAGTTATTTTAATAAATTTAACAGCAGGAGTTATCAAGGCACGTCTTTGTGGATGAAGATGCAGGCTATTGCTAAGAATGCTTTGCAAGGATCCTGTGGAACTGAGGAAATGAGCCCGCAGGCTTTGCTGTTTAGGAGTTTGTGGCTAAAGGCCGAAGCAGCATTATCTTTCTTTAATTATCAGGCTTCTGCATCAAACGTTAGCAAATGAACTCAAGTGACATGAACCGAACAAAGGACTATCAGGTTATTTCCCTTGTCCTGAAAATCCTCAATGCCTCAGCCCGGTTGTGTCTCAAAGTTTAGTATTCTTTTAAAGAAAATTCCATGATGTCTGTCTAGTAAGCATTTTCAGGCTTCTGTAGTAATTTTTTAATATTTTATAGTAATTTAATAACTTTATATCTTGAACATAACATAATATAGTTATTTACTACTCAAATGTATGAAGTTACTAAATAATTATAAAATACTAGAAAATTACTGTGAGCTTTGATGCGTACCACAGTAGCACTCCTCTTCGAAGGCAATGCTCTTGATAGTGGGTGCGTAAGTTGTTCTCCGTAGTGTAAGTTGTTAATCCTTTACTAATATACTGCATAATTTCACGCTTTGACAGTGTAGGGCTGGTGACTCTAGTTAACACACAACCAGAAGAAACTGTGGTTGGCGTTTCTGCATCCATAATAGGATGAAGCATCAGATGCCTACTATTCTAATCTTGCATGATGCTGACTCTACTAAGTTCAGTTATATTATAGCTGCAAATAACAGCCTCAACATGAAAATTTCCTTTTTGGAAGCCGCAAGATGAAATTCTAGGATTGAGTTTTCTGGATGATTAACATGATAATCTGGCACAAAGAAGCCGAAGAAAAAGAATATACAGAAATTGGGCCAGGCTTAAGAGGGAGCGTGCTGTTTTTGTTTGCGCAACCTGAACTGATATCCACGGATATTTACTTGTAGTCATTTATTGATTGCTGCTTCAGTGGAGCTGTAAACTTCTATATACCCAATTAAGATTGAGATTGAAAAAAAAAATGTAACAGACAGGACATGCATCTCAATGAATTGGTGCCACGAAGATTATCTTGACACCTTGCTGATAACGGGCGGTGAATTGCGGCCCATTTTGGTTGTCATGTGACCTGCTAACACATTCTTAAGACTTCAAATACCAAGGGCCACGGCAGGGTAAGACAACATAAACTCTCCAAACAACCAAGTCAATAAGCTGACCCGTTGCAATACTAGGGATCCATCTCAATTAGGTTTTGCTGGGCTGGAATGAGCTCCAACCGAGCAATTGAAGTCTCATAGAGACGATGGATTGATGGGGTATTTTTTTCTTATCAGAAGAAATGAATATAACCTGTTATTATATTATCATTTAAGTACTCTCTTCTTGTTGTTTAGTTTTGAATTTATAGTTGCTATGCTTTATACAGACTGGTCATTACAATGCATGAAAATATTAGAGCGCACGTACTTCTAAACATGATTCCATTTAGCAATTCAAATGTGTAGAAAACTTTTATTGGTTAGCCTTGGTTGTGAATTCTGATATCTCTTTTTGAAAATATCCCTCGCGCCTCATTAAACTATCTGTATCATTTGTTGATTTTTATTTTCTTGTAACATCTATGAATAATATCTAAAGAACCCACATGAAAAAGGAAGAAGGAAACGTAAAGAAAAGAAAAAAGCTATGAAAATATAGGAAGAACGTGTCCTGTACTGTTCATGGGAGTGGTACCACAAGATAGCGAGAAGAAAAAAACGATAGGGGATTGGATTTTGAATACCCAGTTGGAAGTACAAGGACAGCCCATGTAAAAACCCAGTCACTCCTCTCACCTAGACAAAAGTGACCACTCATGATGTAGGGGACCTCTCTCTCTCTCTCTCTCTCTCTCTCTCATGTTTGGACGATGATATGGGTAGATTATTTATTATAAACAGTGGGCGAAAGTACTGTTTGCATCAATCAAAGTAAAGGGTATTGGAAAAAATTAATTACAAGGTGCAAAAAAAGGAGAAAGCAAACAAGGTCTTATCATTTAAAAGGAAACTGTCAAAACTAAAAGCCACCATATCCAAAATTGATTTAGTTAGCTTATCTCTAATGACACTATTGTGTCTCTCTACAGTCTAGCATGCTTCGCGTTCATCAATCTATTCATCCATCGTTACTATTAAATCAAGGTGCTTTTTAATGGTACTGACAACTAAATTTACTTGTAATTTTATTCCTCCAAACGTAAAGCTAAAATGGTGGTTTTAGAATTAGATGGTGAAGATTTGCCAACTGATTTTGTCATTCAATTGTTAGAATTGCAACTGGCTTTTCTTTTAAATACATGAATGAATTAAATTTGAACCCGAAGAGTGTGCTGTGAAGTTATTGAAGAAATGGTTTAGTATAAAAGCAACGTTAGAGAATTAAGCTTATTGACTAACAAGATAAAAATTAGATTGTGCTAACGGAAACTAAGTTCAAATCTCATGACGCTTGATATGATAAAAGTTATTTGATATGTTCAGTAAAATTTTAACATCCGGGTAAAAAAAAATAAATAGAGATAAAAGAAATAAAAGAAAAAGTAAAAAAAGTGAAAAAGGAGGGGAAAGTAAAGAAGGAATAAGCGTGCATGAGAGAGTGGAAATGAGAAAAGAGACTGAAAAATGAAAAAGAAAGAAATGGGCATATGATGATGGTGATGAATGAATGAATGAGAAATTAATAATAAGACATGTGATGGAAGAGAAAGAAAAAATCAGACAAACTGGAAATTACGAGGGTGCCCGACCGGCATTGAATGAGGGAGACCCTGTAACTTAATTTATGTTCTTGTCTCTTTTAAATTAGCTTAAGACAAATACAAAAACCTCTCCATCTCCCTCCCGTCCAATCCAGGGTGGGTCACTTCATTTTCACACATCACCTCCTCATACATACACACATAGGATAAGATTTTGACTCTTGCACGAATTTATTATTAGCTTCTCAACCCATATATTTATCCTGAATTTAATTTCTACCCACTTCACCAATCGATTAAATTCTGTGTATTTCATGATCATCATTAATATTTCATAGTTTCATCATTGTTTAGCTTAATTATTAGGAATAGGGAAGTAGATTATAAAGGGGTTGGAGAAAGAATTGGATGATGTATGTGGGTTTACTTTACGGCTGGTGGTGGGCAGTAGCCCTCATTACCTGACTGATCCGTTACCATCATTCCTTCTCCTATATATCATAATAATTGCGGTTGTTTTATGGGATCCGCTGCGTCTGTCATCACTTTGTCTGTCACTCTAATTATCTCTCTCTCTCTCTCTCTCTCTCTCTCTCATTTATTAATCCTTCTCTATTAATTCTTTTTTTTTTAAAAAAAAGGTTAAAAAGAAAACAACCTGTACCTGTACCCTGCTGGGTTTATCTCCTTACCCTCGCCAGCTTTTTTTCTGATCTTTTCTTCTTCTTCTTCTTCTTCTAATTATTCTTTTGTCTTCCTCATCACCCTTTTTTCCTTTCTGTATCTTTTCTTTTTTCTGGCTTTCTTGTACCCTTTTGCATGAAAGCACCAGAAGAAAGAAGTTCATCCATCACCACCGTCCATTGCTTGACATATTAGACGAGTCATGATCACGATCACCTCCAACAAGTCTTGTCCACATGCATATATACACACACATATGTACCTGTGTGTGCGTGAGGGGCATGCATGCACGCAACATTTTCTTTTTCTAGAATTAGGAAAAGAGAAGCGTGCCCATCCCGTCCACCTCTTTGCCCTTTTCTTTTTTCTTTTTTTTTTTTTTTTCTGACTTACATTCAGTTTTTACATTAACTTGTGTATTATTAAAATTTCCCCCCCCCCCAACCCCCTCAAGTATTCATATAATAATTGTAATTAGGTTAAGTCTTTTCCTAACGGGGTACAAAGTAGACCAATCACGACCCAAGCAATGAGATTAAGAGAAAAAAAATCATATAATCATATACCATAAGAAAAATTTAGGGAGAAAAAAGAAAAGAAAAGGGGAAAAATGGGGGGTGGGGGTGGGGGGTGGGGGGAGAATAGAGACAAAACAAAGATGGAGAGTATCACGGGAATGTGGTAGGCATTAAATAATTTAAAGCCAAAGAGAAATTTGAAAACGTAGGTGGTCCAAGGTTTATATATTTCTAGGGAGTGGGAGTGGGAGTACATTGCACGCCTCTCCCCCAACTCCCCCCGTTAATTCCGACCTCCATTTTTTCCCTCGACTACTCACAACCATATATATATATATATACATATATTCATATATGTGTACGTATACACACACACACACGTATATATATATATGTTAATATCGTCATTGATGACCTAAACCTTACAAAATGCACATACCCATTTTCTGTATAAAGTTAGGTCTTGTGGGGACTTCAACTTTTAGTCCAGGTTTCCGGAGGAATCTCGTTTCGTTCTTTCCCTACTTTATGCCCTCGTTACTATATCCAATTACTCTCCATTTTAGCATTAATTAATTAACTTTACAATATTAATATTAAATTAATTTATTAATAATTCCACTAATTAATTTTTAATTAAATGATTAATATTTGGGTTTGAATTACATTATTTATTTATTTATTTATTTATACCTAATTTAAGCAAAAGCCGACTAATTAACTTTGGACTATCCAGAAGCTAAAAATAGTGATTTAAGGAAGAAAGAATAGACAGTGTTGTATACGTATGTATGCATGTATGTATGTATATAATGGTTTTGGGGATGGGATGAAGTTGATGGTTATGGGGGGGGGGGGGGGGGGGAGGAAGATATGTCGTTAGGGCTGTCTGGAGTATTGGGACCGGCAGCTCTATAAATTGTATATGCACTTACACTGATCACCTACCATTTTCCATTGTTGTGTCTCTCTCTCTCTAGGCTTCTCCCTATATATATATATGTATATATTGCTTACTGCATATAATAGATCCTATATGCATATATGCTGTATCCACTTTCGCTCACTCTTTTTCTCACTGCCAAACCATACGGACCCACTTTAATGCATTCATTTATACTACTTACTGCATTATATATTTATTTTACGTATATATACTAAGAAAATATTACATATATACATGTATATATATATACATGTATATATGCAAGCAGTAGACGT